GAAGTGTGTCACCATGCCTGGCTTGCTTTGAGCATTTTAAATACACATTTTTGCAGTACAGTGATCATTGATATTCCCAATAAACCAAAGCCCAGGGGACATGGTTTGCCCAAATCTATGCAATGAGCTGCATAGCTCATAGCTTCTAGAAGTGGAATTAGATTCGGGTGTCCTGACACCTGGCCCAGAATGCCTAGAAAGGCTTTGGGAGAAGATTACACCTCAGAACAATCTGCAGAGAGCCTGCCCAGGGGAGCCGCCCATGGACCACATCCTCAGTCCATTCCCTTGGTCTTTTTATCATCTTAACCTCAAACCTTAGTCACCTGAGGTCACTGGCTCCCTCGCCCTCCACAGGCTAGCTAGAAACAATAGCCACAGGTCTTGAGCAACATTGTGTGTGGGGCACTATGCTAAGCAACTGTTGCTGTTCCAGTTGTCCTCCTATTTCTCATGAGTGCCTCCTCCTCCTCATGCCTGCCATCCTCAGCACCTGTGGACTAGACGATGACTGTAGCCTTCTTGCTGGCTTCTCTGTATCCCCTTTCTTCTATACTCCACCTTCCATACAACATACAAATCTGTCAATGTATCCCTGAGTCACACAGACTGACTGAAGCAAGGTGACATTGTCACTACCCTGCTTGAGGCCTTCCATGGCTTCCTATTCCCTTTCCAGTGAAGTCCAAGCTTTCTCAGCCTAGCATTCTGGGCCCTCCACACTCCTTACCCCCATCACCATAGACCTCTCAGGACTGGCTGCCTGTGTGTCCCCATGAGCCCCATATACCCCACACATTATACAAACCCTACACACCCATGTACACCAATGCACACACACATACCCATATATACCCCATATACAGTAAAACATACCCCATACACACACCCTACCCTATGCACACCCAATATACATACAGCAAATACACTTCATATATATCCTTATACCCCATATACATTCCCATACAACCCCTACACCTCATATACCCCAAACACCACCCACACATCATATATGCTTTCCTATATATCCCCCACACATCTATACATTATACATTCACACATACCCTATACTCATTACCTGCACCCTATATACCCCATCTACAACATATATACCCCATACACAATATGTATTCCACACACAGCACACATACCTCATAACATTTCTTACCCCATATATATCCCCCCTACACTATCTGGCCCTCATACACCTCACATACACATGTACACCCCATACATTCCCTGTATACATTCTGTACACATCATGCATACCCCATACACACCATATATGTTATACACATCCCATACATACCCCATATGTACCAAATACACTCCATACATACCTCACATACCAAGCCAATTTCCCAGAGGGCTCCACAGGGCCCATATTCCACCTGGTGCTTCTAAAGCACTGCCCTTCTCTGACATTTTTCTTTTATTTCTTTCTTTCATTCCACCTCCACAATACTGAGGATTGAACCCGGGGTGCTCTACCCCTATCCCTTTTTATTTAAAAAAGTTATTTTGGGTACAGGGGTACTTCACCACTGAACCACATCCCCCACCCTTTTTAACATTTTATTTAGAGACAGGATCTTGGCTGAGTTGGTAAGTGCCTCATTATGTTGCTGAGGCTGGCTTTGAACTCTCAATCTTCCTGCCTCAGCCTCCCAAGCTGCTGGGACTACAGGCATGTGCCACTGCTCCAGGCTCTTATTTTTTGCCACTGCTTCAGGCTCTTGTTTTTCGATAGGGTCTTGCAACATTAATAAGGTAGTCCTCCTGCTTTAGCCTCCATAGTCACTGGTCACCATGCCTCGCTCTTCTTCTTGGTTTGGGCTGTCCTCACCCCCACACCTGAAATGGCCTGACCCCTCCCCATCAAGTCCTGGGGGCACCCTTGTTAAGTCTTCTGATGGAGCTAGAGAGGTTATTGTGTGTGCTATCTTTTCATTACACAGGAGAGGGACAATTCCCTTATCACCAGGTCCAAGATGTTCTGATCTTGGAGTGGGACAGACACAAGAACATACAGTCTTCTGGTCCCACACAAACCTCACCCTCCATCTTCCACACACCCAGGTTTCCATCCCCGGTCTTTTCTCAAACCAGAAAGCCCCTTGTTTTTACCAGACTACTTGCTAACGACCTCCCCAGCCTCCAGGGCCAGCTGAAACCACAGTTCTCCATGAGGACCAAGGCTTTCTCTCACACAGTTGTTTATTTATTTTTTTGTTTTTTTTTTTTTTTTTGGTCCTATGGATTGAACCCAGGACTTTGTGTATGCAAGGCAAGCACTCTATCAACTGAGCTATATCCCCACTCTCTCTCACCAACTTGTACACAGATTCAGGGCTATGCCAGGCAGAGCCAGGTCTCTCCCCTCTGCCCCCTGGGCAGAGCAACAGGCCTCAGCCTGAGCTGGTGTCAGACCAGAGCAGGCCCTAGACTCTGGTTCCTTTTTCTTCACCCCCATGGTTTCGTAGGTCAATAGCACAGTTCCTTCTTCACACGATGAGGGAAGTAGACTTAAGTTCTGAGACCTTGGAGGGAGAAGTGAGTTGCTGTGGCCACAGAATGAGTAAGGGCTGAGGAGTGACCTGGGGTCTTCGGGGGGCCACATGGAAGCAGGGTACGCTGGGGCTGGGGACTCAGGTGTGGGTGGCTCCAGGTTTCAGGGTGTCTGTTTATTTGTGCCTCTTTCCAAACCTTTAGATAATTTATCTCATCTGCTCCCAAGAGTGACTAGAAGAGGACATTGCCACAGCAGGTGGCCTGGAAAGGGTAGAAGGTCAGAGCCAGGCCAGAAATAGTTCTGGATTTGCTTCAGCCCAGGCCAGCCAGGCACAGAATTTGGGGGTGGGCCTGAATTCATGGCCTGAGGGGTTCTTCCCATCCTCCCTGGTACCTCCCTGCTTCCTCTCCAGATTCTTTCCAGCCATCAAGACTCTCAGAACCAGTCTCGCCTTCTCTGGGAAGCCCCCCAAGACTTGTTTATCCCCAGATCTCAGGGCCTCACAGCATATAGCAGGACTGTCACAGCATCATTTATCCCACTCAGACTGAGTGGCTGCAGCCCTGCTCTCACCCATCCCACAGTGCAGATAAGCTGTAGGCTAAGAGGTCTTAGTGCTGCCAGTCTTCTCCTCTTGTTCTCTGCTGTCCAACAATGTGGGACGTGCCTAGGCCTCAGAAGGGGTTTGACAAATGGTACCTGTTGGTGAAGATTCTTAAGTGACGGTGGTTGTCTGAGGAGCAACAGGAGACAGATGATTAGGAGCCCAGAGTGAAGATGCCAGGGTTAGCATCCCAGGCCATGGGAATATTCTGGAGCTCAGAGACTACTGGGGCCTGGGCTTGAGCCCTGTCTCATTGGTGTTTCTTGCTACCCTGGACAGTCACTGTCCTGTTCTGGGCCTTCATCACGTCCTCCATACTAGATGAAGGTGAACCAGAGTCTAGTCTAAATATCTCCAGATATTCTTGGTGATAGAGCATCAAAGCCATAAGAAAGGTGAATCTGCTCCATACCCTGTATATAACAAAAATAAAGACAAGTCTAAACCATGCAATACGAAAAAGGCAGTTTGGGCTGGGATTGTGGCTCAGTGGCAGAGCACTTGCCTCGTAAGTATGAGGCACTGGGTTCAATGCTCAGCACCACATGAAAATATATAAATAAATAAAGGTATTGTGTCCATCTACAACTAAAATAATATTAAAAAGAAAAAGGAAGTTCAACAAAGGTTTGATCTTTCCATAATGACTACTCTGATGCTTTGAAATATCAAATATCAAAATTTGTTCCAAAATGAGGCTGGGGCTATAGCTCAATGGTACAGCACTCGTCTAACATGTGTGAGATACTGGGTTTGAATCTCAGCACCACACATAAACAAAATAAAGGTACACCAACAACTAAAAAAATATTTTAAAAAAAAATTTGTTCCAAATGTATGTTTGCTGGTGCTACAGCAAAGCAGAGCATGCTCTGGTCTGTTTCTTGGGTGATCTGGCCCATGGAGGATGTTAATCCTCTAAGCTCAACTTAGCTTTCAGACACTGACATTCACTGGCTGGCCTGGCCTGTTCCAGGGAGAATGCAGGCTCCTAGGAGCCTTTGCACTACCATGCCTGAGGTCCACCTAATTTTTCTGCCAAGCTTTCGACCAGGTGAAGATCCCAGGTCTGCTGGACCACTAGTGAGGATCACTTTTCTTACCTAAACAGCCTCCAAGGGCTCCCTGACCATGCTGTCCTATCCCCAGGGACTCGTGGGCAGACTCGGGACTTGGCTTGCCTAAAGTATCTTTCTTGAGAGGTTTTATTGTTTTTAGAGACATGGTCTGGCTGGCTTTGAACTCCTGGGCTCAAGTAATCCTAAGAGCAGTATAAAGGCCCCTAGGAATCTACATTCTCCCCAAAAAAGGCCAGGCTAGCCAGTGAGCTAGGACTATGGGTGCACACAAGCACAACCAGACTGTGAGGAATTTAAAGACCAGAATGGGACCCCCAAGTAGCAGAAGTGCCTCCCTACCGCCACCCACACACCACAAGAACAGGAAGCAGTCTCTTGCTTCCTAACACACTCACCCCAGTCTCTTGGTGCTTATATTCCCATAGGGTCTTCACCTTCAACAGCAAAAGCTTTGTTCTGTAACATTAGGGTGCTTGGCTGGGTGGAGCTGGGCTTCTGCCCTTTGATCAACTAATCTGGCAAAGACCTAAGGACCTGCCCTGAGTGGGTGCCCTGGAAAGAGGAGACTGGCTGGAGATGGAACTGGGTGACAGAACGCTGGAATCCAGAGCCACAAGCTATCAACATGGTCGAAGCAAAGCACCATAGGTCCTTCTCAACAAGCCCGGAGATTTGACCCATCAAGTGAGAGCGCATCCCTGGGGAAACTCCTGCTTTCTCTAACACTGGCCCTGAGCCCCCAAACAAAAGGCTACATGCTGTAGACATCAAGCTGGAGATGAGGCATGGGATGAGACTGACTTACTGGTCATGCAGAGCAGAGCGTGGAAGAGCCACATTCTAGCTGGAGCAGAGGCAGGTGCATTCAAGCTGAGCAGTTGAGTAGGGAGCTAGAGATGGGCCAGGCCAGGCACTCAGCTTCCCCTCCTTAGCTGAGGCTGGGAGGCGGGGACAGAGGTGCACACACAGAAGCAAGGACCCACAGGCAGATAGGCACTTACAAAGAGCCACAGTCACTCCTACATGTGCACAGTCAGCCGTATGGTTTCCTCAGCAGCTGTGGGCTGGGTCCCAGGAGCTTAGAGACAACTGTCCTCCCACTCCCTCACTCACGCTTACACCCCACTTTCTTGGAATGGTGAGCAGAGGTTTGACTGGGGTAGTGGTTCTGGATGTTCTTGGCAGAGGAGGTGCAGGAGCAATAACAATCCAGTCCATTGTCTGTTGTCTGTATCATCCACGTGAGTTCCCAGCCTGTCCTGCCTCAAAATCTACCACCAGACAGCTCAGCTCACTCCCAGCCCAGGGTCTTTAGTGGCAGTTGTCTCAGCAACTGGGACAGGGATTCCCCTCCCCAAGGAAGTGCCCCCACTGTTAGAAACTGGGCTCCTGTGCCTGCCCCTGCACTCAAGGGCTGGGGCTACAAGGGGCCAGGTGAGTAGAAAGACCCCATGCACCAGCTGACACCACTGCTCCATCCAATTGCCTAGAATTAAAAAAAAAAAAAATCTGGCTAAGTCACCCTGATACTAAAACTAGTTTCACAGGGCTCTGGGCTGTCAGTCTAGCACAAAAGTGTTTCAGTACACCTCTGACCCATCCCAGCCTTCCAGAAACCAAATTACTAATAGCTTCCAATCATATTTAAGGGCCAACTTCACCTTTTGTCAAATTTGCCCCTGTGAAAGTCTATCAGGGAAGGAGGCCTCTCCACACCACAGCTCCTCAAGCTTCAGGAAGTGCAGGGAGCATAGTCCAACTTAACTCTGTGCAGAGGTGGAACTGCTCTGGACTGCACTGTTCAACTCAGTAGCCATTGGCTACATGTGGCTACTGAACCCTTAAAATGTCATCAGAGCAACCCAGGGATTGAATTTTATATTGTACTTATTCTTTTTCTTTTTTGGTACCAGGAATTGAACTCATAGGTTCTTCACCACTGAACCACATCCTCAGCCCTTTTTTATATTTTATTTAGAGATAGGGTCTTGCTGTGTTGTTTAGGGTCTTGCTAAGTTGCTGAGGCTGGCTTTGAAATCTTCCTGCCTCAGCCTCCTGAGCCGCTCAGATTACACGCATGAGCCATTATGCCCGGCTTGTACTTAACACTTAAGTTAAATTCAGAAAGACAGGGTTGTCTCTCATCTATTATAGGAATGTCTGCAGCCCAGATAGTACTTTGAAATGTTAGTGTATTAACAAAGTAGGCAATGGTGTTGACTTAATGACTACATGAAAATCAATTTTATTTTCTCATATTGAAACCTTGTTTGGCCACTGTTTTGTGAAGATTCAATGACACTTCAAATGTTTTTGCACTGTCTGCTTTGGTCTGATAAAATACTTGACTAGATCCTCCATGTGTATCACTCAGCAGAGAAGCTAAAAAGCTGAAAAAAGCAAAGCTTCAGGTCTGAGGATCTAATCTGCCAGCCAGGTCAAAATGCAGATCATCCTAAGGTTGCTTAACCTTGTCACAGGTTGCGTTGAGGCCTGCAACCCGCAGCCCACCTTCCCATCATTCCAGGGCTCAGTGACTTTCCTTTCCCCAATTCATCCTGAGTTCCAGTGGCACTTAGTAGAGCCACACAGGAACTCTTCTTCCCAGCAATGGCCCAGAAGGAAAGGGAGTATCCCCAAATCAGAGCAGAACCTTTGGTAGGCAGGGCTAGAAACCATGGCTGCAGCTTATTCAAGACTTCCGCAAAACTTCGTGTTTGGAGTGTGATCTTTGGAGCACCTCAGGAGTCCAGGTAATGATGACTGATGCTGGAAAGGAAGCAGGGCCATTTTCTGCATCTTTGTAGGCCTCTAGAATGCTGACTCATCTTGCATCCATCCAAGATATAAGTATCCAGGCTTGTGAGTGCCTCCAGGCACAAGAACACAGGGGGTCCCTTCAGCCTACCTGATGGAAATACTTTCCCACAAACCCAAACTTAAGGTCCTCAAGTTGGGACCAGGCTTTGTCCCTCCCTCACAGCATGCAATACAAGGTTGTGTGTTCAGCAAATACATATTTATACAAAAGAAAAGGGAAAGTGGTTTCCTAACTCATTTTACTTTAAATGAATGTTAAGGGACCAACTGAAAGGATATTCTACATCAATTTGACTGTAATCTTCAAAACAAATCAATGTCAAGAAAGACAAAAAAAGGCTAAGGAACTTCTCCAGTTTAAAGGAAACAAGAGAGGATTACTAAAAGCAGGAAAGTCCTCCATGCTGAATTGGACCCTGGACCAGAAAAAATAAAATATTTTTTAAAGTACATTATTGGGCCAGCTGACAAAACTGAGGGATGAACTACATAGAAATAAGTAGCTCTCATATAGGCCAGAAATTACATATTTCCTGAATTTGGTAACTATGCTATGGATATGTGAGGAAATGCCTTTGTTCTCAGGAAACATACACTAAAAAACTCTGTATGGATGAAGGGGCATGATGTATGCAAATAACTCTTAAATAGTTCATGGCTCAGAGAGAAGGGAAAGAAAAAAAAGGAGCCCAGAGGATGAGGAAGGAAAGAATGAATAGTAAAATGTGGCAAAATGTTCTGTTGCCCTTGACACTCTATTATTCTGAAATTATTTCATAATAAAAAGCTCTTTAAAATAATCCAGGGATGGAAGTATGCAGCATGAGGTGGACCCACACTGTCTTGAAAGTGGAAGGGGTTGGTCCCCCAGCCTGTCCCTAGCCTCCAGACACAGGAAAAGGTTCTAAACAGGGCTGGGGTTGTGGCTCAGTTGGTAGCGCACTTGCCTAGAACATATGAGGCACTGGGTTCGGTTCTCAGCACCACATAAAATAAATTAATAAATAAAGGTCCATCAACAATTAAAAAAAAAAAAGGTTCTAGACACCCACCTGGATTCTGAGTCCTAGGAAGCTGGAAGAATAAATTTATTAAGGGTGCAAGGGAGTCGGGGGCAGAGCAATGGTACTCACCACCACTCACTGAATGCTCAGTAGGGAGCACTGAACTCAGGGCCAAGGCCTTTCAGGTAAGCCCTCTTCCGAGGGTACCCCAATTTCACAGATGAGGATGCCAACTCCCAGAGAGAAGTTATGTACTTTGCCAAATGCCACATGATTAGTAAGTGGCTGAAGTGGAAATCAAAGAGGTCTGTCTCCTTCAGAACCAGGACACTAAACCATTATAAACCTCCTGACTTCAAATACACGTGTTTTGAACTTAAAAAAAAAAAAAAAAAAATTAGGAATTATGGGGCCAGGGCTGGGGCTCAGCGGTAACGCACTTGCCTGGCATGTGTGAGGCACTGGGTTCACTTCTCAGCACCGCATATAAATAAATAAAAAATAAAGGTCTATCAACAACTAAATTAAAACAAAACAATAGGGACTAGCCCAGCACAGTGGTACATGCTTTTAATCCCAGGGACTCAAGAGGCTGAGTCAGAGGAGGATCTCAAATTCAAGGCTAGCCTCATCAATTTAGCAAAACTTAGTCTCAAAATAAAAAGCACTGGGAATGTAATTCCTCTGATTTTAATCCCCCATTACCAAAAAGAGCGGGGAGGCTCATTCCACAAATATAGATTGGCATCATTACATCACTGGGTGCAGTAAATTGAATAGCATTCTCTTCCAAATTAATACACTGAAGCTCTAACCCCAAACATAGCTCTATTTGGAGACATGTCTTTTAGGAGATAATTAAGGTTACCTGAGGTGAGAAAAGTGGAGCCCAGTCCTAGTCCAATAAAATCAGTGGCATTTTAAGGGTCACATGCACACTCAAAGGAAAGGCCCATGAGCTAGGAAACCAGGAAGGCCCTCACCATGAGGCACCCTGAGCTCACTTTCCCAACCTCCAGATCTAACAGAAAATAAATATTTGTTGTTTAAACCATGCAGTCTATATATTATCATGGCAGCCTGAGCAGACTGATACACTGGGCTACCTACCCAAAACAAGACTGAGTGGGATTTGCATAGTATGTCTACACACATACATGTGCATGTGCTAAAAGTCAGAGGAGTGGCAGAGGGAGCAAGGGAGAGGACTCTCTTATCCTTTCATAGCTGAGGGGCTAGGAAAAGTGCACTGGGACATGGGACCAGGCTTCTTCCTTGCCCCACCTCCTTCCTGTCTAACTTGCAATTCCCAATGCTCCTTGGAAAGTACAGCAAGGGGTCCTAGACATACATTAGCACCAGAAGAAAACTTGAAGATCATCCAAGTTGCCTGAAATACAAGGCAACTAAGGCCCAGAGAGGACGGAACTTACTTGGTTTTTCCCAGTTGACTATGAGGTAGAATGAGTCCCTAGGGTCCTAGCCCCAGCTCCAGCCACCATCTTATTTGACTTTCCCCAAAAGACAGTCCTCCTGAGCTAAATATGCTGCCAGTTGTTTACATGCCCTCTGAGGAATACACATCATGAGATCAAACACTTCCACAACAACCCTATGAAGAGAAAAACAGGAAGACCATGTCTTCTCTCCTGCCAACATATGGGCCTCTTGGTCCTCACTAACCTACACTGGTACGGGGTTGAAGGTGACAAACAGTCTGAAATACCTCTAAGTCTTAACTACATAAGAATCTGGGCATCTAGAAAGGGCCTCTGGAATCACTCAAATAGATGAGTAGTGAACTCCCCAAGCAGAGTAGTGACTTTGGTAGGTCAAATATTACCCACACTCTTTTGAGTTTTAAATACAGTACAGCAAAATCCTACTTTAATGCCTCACAATTATTTAAAATAGGCTTTTGAGGCAGCATTTCCCTAAGATCTCCCAGGAACACTGAAGTTCTGTAAAATGCTCATAGAGTTTCTTTGAGGTAAAATAAAATTAAAAAAAGCATTACAGTATTTTTTCTTCTAACATTTATTTTATTTTATAAACATGTAAGAAAAGTAGATGTTTATTGTTGGTCAAATTATGCAATCACAATCTTCCTTGAAGCAAATGTGCTATTCTCAAGATTACAAAAAGCACTCTCTCCTTTTAGTTCTTATCTTAAAGAAAAAAAAATGACTTAACTTCTAATTTACTTCTTGTTATATAGATTTAAAAGTAAATACTCATGCATCAAACTTGCTTCTTACCAGTTAATTAATCTGTGAAGCCACAATTTGCTGTTGACTGTAATCCAAAGTGCATGTTAGCATTTCATCATGACCTTAAAGGATGCTCGGCATAATAAGTTTGAGGAATGTTGCTTTAGGCCACAGAGCTGCTGCTGGAATAACTGTTTCTTCTGCTGCTGGAATAAACTGTTTCTTGTCACCTGTCTGGATGGCTGTCACTTTCCTCACCAACAGGACCAGAGGCTACAAACTGACTCAGCAGGCCCTCTTTCATGCCTCTCACCCACCAGCTTCCTTTCCCTCCTATCCCAGGGCAGAAGAACTGTTTTTCTAAAAAACAGTCTGAACTATCTGCATTATTTCCTAGCAAATTCTTTAAGGAGGTGGGGAAACTTCAGCTCAGATACAGCCCAACCATCAAAATCTGATGTTTACTGAGGTCTATGTAATGAGAACTTTTTTTCTTATACCATTGAATAATTTTCCCCTTTTTGTATCTGGTGGGCTCATCTAGAATAGGCTAGACTGCAGATAATGGTGATTCATCTGGACAGGGTTATAACAATTATTTCCTGAACACCTGTAAAGCACTACTTACTCTGGGCTCTTCTGGTGCTAGGCTACAGAGAAAACAACATGGAGACATGTGCTTTGTTACAAGCTTATAGGCTAGATGGAAAACAAAACAGGAAAATAAGGCATTGCACATCCATGGCAGAAATGTGAGTAGCCTGTAAGAGGATGGGCCTCAAGGATGCAGCTGTTTATGGAAGACCTGCTAGGTGCCAACCATGATGGCAGGCACTGGGTAAACCCTGATGAACAAGCCTGACATGGTCCCTGCTCTCACAGAGCTTACAGTCTAGCAAAACAGACAAACTAAGAATAGGAAATTACAGTCCAGTGTATAAAGGTGCTGAATTGGGGCAGTAGTGATTTTGCATTATACGTACACTTTTCACTTAGTTAACACAATAGTATTTATCCGAAAAATAAAGTTTAAAAAAAAAAAAAAGACAAGGAGAAGCCAGGCGCTGTGGCACACTCCTGTAATCCCAGCGGCTTGGGAGGCTGAGGCAGGGGGATCGTGAATTCAAAGCCAGCCTCAGGAAAAGTGAGGCACTAAGCAACTTATGGAGACTTTGTCTCTAAATAAATACAAAATAGGGCTGGGGATGTGGCTCTGTGGCCGAGTGCCCCTGAGTTCAATCCCTGGTACCCTCCCCCAAAATAAGACAAGAAGAAAGAAAAACAATTTCAAGTGGCTTGGCCATTCCATCTTTCTCTCCTTCCCTCAGTAAGCCCAAACACGCAGTACTGCCTGGGCAAGTTTTTGCCTCTGTGGCCTGCCAAAGTTTCAAGCTCCTCAAAAGTGACCTTCTCACTTAGTGTGATTCTAACACCTAAATATCAGTGAGTTTGTATAACATGGCTCTAACTGCAGGTCAACTATTTCAAATGTTACTCAACCAAAGGAACAGCGATCTCTTCCCATACAGACAAAACTGACTGCAAGCTGCAAGGAACCTTGTGATAGTGGTCTTCAATGTGGCACTTGCCTTGGAATTTCAATTATATTCAATTATGATCTTAGATGCTGATGACTTTTTCCTTTCTTTTTTTTAGTACTGGGATTAAACCTAGGGGCACTTTACCACTAAACTATATCCCTAGTCCCTTTGATTTATTTTAAGACAGGGTCTCGCTAAACTGCTAAGGCTGGCCTCAAACTCATCATCCTCCTGGCTCAGACCCTCAAAATGAATTGCTGAGATTATAAATGTGCACCACCACATGCAGCTTAGGTGCTGACTATAACCTAACCCTGGACTCAGCTACAACTCCTTTGTGGCAATATCATGGGACACACAGAAAGAGCCTGTACTTTGGCTCTGGAAATTTAGGCTACTTCCTGTAAGAGCCCCTAAGACCTCAAGAATAAGGGGAATAAAGAAGGCAAGGCTGAGGCAGGAGGAGGAGAAAATGGGGGTAAACATGTTATGGGGTAGGAGGGCAAACTGCAGAGTCTGGAAGGCTGGTGAGATCCAGAGAATTAGTAAGCAGAAGGCAGGGGAGAATGGGGAGAACAGGACAGAAATAATGCCAGAGGCTAGATCTTGACCAGCTTTATAAGCTATCAAAGGACAAGAATTTATTCCAAAAGTAATGGTGAAGCTCTAGAAAGATTTCAAGCAGAGGAAACACAGGATCAGATTTATATTTAAGAAAGTTCATTCCACGTAGGGTGCAGTGGTACGTGTCTGTAATCCCAGCGATTTAGGAGAATGAGGCAGGAGGATCAAAAGTTTGAGAGCAGCCTCAATTTAGCAAGACCTTGTATTCAAGTTTTAAAAAAGGGCTGGGAATGTAGCTCAGAGGTAGAGCCTTCCTGGGTCCAATCCCCAGTATTCCTCCCCACAAAAAAAGTTCATCCTGAAGCACATGAAAAATTGCCCAATATGATTGGTCATTAGGAAAATGAAAATTAAAACCAATGAGACAACATTTCATATTGGAAAATACAAAGTGTTGGCAAAGATGTGGGGGTAACTGGAACCCACATACATTGCTGGTAAGAAAGGAAAAGACACAGCTACTTAGGAAAACAGCCTGGCAGTTTCTCAAAAAATTACAGAAAGTTATCATATGACCAGCAATTCCACTCCAAAGTAAAAACCCAAGAATAAAGAAAACTTATATCCATGAAAACACCTATACATGAATGTTCATAGAAACCTATTCATAATAGCCAAAAAGTGGAGACAACCCAAATGTACATTTACTGATGAATGGATAAATAAAATGTAGTATATCCATACAATGAAATATCATTTATCAATTTAAAAAAATGAAGTGCTGATACAGTGCAACATGGATAACCTTGAAAATATGATAAGCAAAAGAATATATGACTCCATTTATACAAAAATGTCCAGAACAGGCAAATCCATAAAGACAGAAAGATTAGCAGTTGCCAGGGGCTAGGAAAGGGAAAAAAATGGGAATGACTACTAAGAAGTACAGCATTTCTTTTTTGGTGATGAAATGTTCTAAAATTTATTATGCTGATGGCTAAACACTGAGGTATATATACACTGTAAATGAGTGAATCATATGCTATGCATATCATATCTCAACTAAGCTGCCAATAACACGTCTACCCCAACTGCAGTGTGCAGAATGGAGAGGGACAGTCAGGCAGAGGCCAAGGAAGAGGGAATGGAATACACAGTGAAACAAGGAGACCAGATTTATGGAAATAGACTGGGAGGAGTGGGTGGCAGGGGAGGATAGTTTATATCTCGTGGCAGGCTCTTAAAATTCTCATGGGTACCTAGTACTTCTCCCATGAGGGAGAGTGGTAAACTGAAATGAGGTATCTGCAGTCATTATCAAGCAGCAAAATTGTATTTAAAATATCCTACATGTAAAGACTAAGAGGAATACAAAAAGCATGTAGCCCTACTGCCTTCATGTACAGAGAGTGCCCCAGAGAAAAACATGCCAGAGTGCTCTCCAATCTGTCCCCACTGTCCTGCCCATTTTTGTTTTTGTTTTCCCCAATACTAAGGATTGAATCCAGGAAATATTTACTGCTGAGCTACATCCCTGGCACAATTTTTTTATTTTGAGTCAGGGTCTCACTAAGTTGCTAAGGATGGCCTCAAACTAGGGATCTCCTGCCTTAGCCTCCAGAGTCTCTGTGATCACAGAGGTGCACCAGGCCCATCCTCTCACTCCAAAGCTCCAAAGATAGGGCTGAGCATCCACGGCACACTTGGGACACTGCAAGACCTGAGTGGCTGTAGAGTGAGAGAGGCAGAGAAGCCAGTAAATTTAGGAGATTAAAGAGTTCTAAAAAGCCATAGAGCAGACGAGTTGAACTCCTATTGGGAAACAAAAAAAGGAAAGTCTCTGAAGGGGAATTTTCTAAACCCTATAGAGACCATGTCAGTTAGGAAACCACAAGGATATCATTAACTCATCAGTAGAACCAGAGACTATGATAGGATAGGGATAAGTCCCTATCCACAACCTCATGGCTGCCATTGTTTCTTTGACTCTTTGGCCACCTACAACACAAAGCAGTACTGAATAGTCCACTGCAAAGGCAGCTTTGGGAAGAGTAAAACACCACTGAGATGCTCCAACAAAGCCAGAAGCTCATTCATTTGCTAGGTGTAAAATTAAGGCCCAGGTCCATGGAACAGAGCCAGCAGTTGGCACACAGGTATCTGACTCACAGGCCTTGCACTTCTAACTCTACCAATCCCCCAAACCCTGAAATCCTCTTCCTAAGAACCTGGCTCTGAGCTGAGTGCTTCACAAGGCAAGTAGAGTTGAGCTGGGAAATCACAGAGGCCTGTCTCCACTGGCAAAGAAGTCAGAACCACCTCTTTCCTAGAATCCTAGGAAGCCGAAATATGCCTTGGTTATATGATCTCATCTTTCTAAAGGGAGGAAAAAAAGCAGATTAACCAACAAAATATAGTATAATACAGTTTTCATTACAGCCCTCAAGACTCACAGCCTTTACTCTCTTTATTAACAACACTGTTCTGCATTTATTAGCATCACAGTGTAATCAACTACCAATATGACATCAACTCAGCCACAAAATCTCCAGGATCCAGGGTTGCACTGGGTTTGGAACAATCCGGGCAAGTGAAGAATTGTAGCATCACAAAAGGGATTAAAGCCTTACTACTTACTATCTCTTTAACTCCCAAGTTCTAATGAAGTGAAGTGAAATGCAACTTTTAAGCCTGTAGAAGAATATGGTATTAAATACTTCAACATAAAAATCAGACAGGAAGACAAAATAATCTACCTCCTTTTCATGGTAAAATAATCTGAAAGGAGCTAAAAAATAAACTAAAAATTTCTGAAACTATTATCTTATTTGCCAGTTTTCAAGAAGTCTTCAGCCACAACTTAGAGACAGAAAGAATAAATTATCAATGTTTCACTTCTAAAGTGATAATAAACAAGATCCCATCTCAGATGGATGGATTTTTTTTTTTCTACAGTGGCCAAAAAGCAAGTTAAATTCTATGTACAAAAAACAGACCATACACTTAGGATCATTTAAAAATAATGAGACTCCTCTCTTTGTCTTCTTCTAAAGTATATAATATATATTTAACAGCACAAAGAAGACACCACTTGAACTTCCCTGTAGCCAACAGGAGAAACTTCCACATATAAAAATTAAAAATTTAAACTTTTAAATCATTAATATTTTTAAAACATAATACAGACTTAAAAAATTGTTCAACGTTAACCCATGACCCCACCCCAGCACAAAAATCAACCCCAAATCCAGAAGTCACAGTTTTTTGTTCCTAAAAATCCCACAGCACTGAACTTTATCTTCACATCAAGCTGACAGCCAGTAAGAGGCCTCTAACAGAAATTCCCAAGGGAGGAACGGAAGCGCGATTGATGCTGCGTCTCTTATCTACCTGGGCGGCACTGGTGTACCTCTGAGGTCAGGTCCACGAGATTCGACCCCCACATTACGGTCCTGGAAGGGTGAGCTGGCAGTTTCCCTCATCTTCCCCCTCGGAGGCTGTCCAATAAGCACCTGGGAATTGACTTTTCTTGGGAAAAGGGTGCTGGTAACAGCTGTCAGGGCCAAGGCAATAGTGAGAAGTTCAGTTCTCTGCTCTTTGGATGAACTGTGTAAAACATTTCTTTTTAAAAGACACAATGTTAAAAATATTAAGAAAAACGTCTACAAAATCTGCAGGGCTGCCTTTTTCTCAAAGGGTAAAGCTTGTGGGGTAGTGGGGAAAGAATTGAGGGCCCAAAACTATAACTGCAGCAAAAGAGAGATGCCCTTCAAAACTTGTCACATTCTTAAGAAAACTTGCTGAAGCAGCAAGAGCTGAGGGTGACTGTATGAGTAGGAGCAGGGGGGGGGCACCAACTCCTGCAGGGCAGGTTCCTACCGCGCACCCTACCCTGCGCAAGAATGTCAGGCTTTAGGCAGCTGCAAGGCCCTGGGGGCATCAAGACTCTGCCTCTGAACCAGAGCTGCTTTCCCGACTAACTTCAATCTGGAGAGATGGTAAGTTATCTAACCGGCTCTTCTTTTGGCGAGACTGTTCTTTCTCCTTAATCAGAGCCCCCCACGCCCTTTGTAGCTCGGAGTCATCTTCCTCAGTGCCAGGTGACCTGTGATCCACTTTTTTCATATTCTTTTCTTTGGTCTTGGGTGCAGATCCTAAGCGAGTCCATAAGCTACCTGTTTGGGTGAGAAGGCATTTTAGTTTGGCAGCCAATGCTGAGATCCAGAGTAGTTCTGAGGAAGCAGGGGCACTGACAAACCCCTGACATGCAAGAGATATTAATGTCTGTAACACTTGGAACCACTGTACAGCCAAGGCTTAAAAAAAAAAAAAAAAAAATCTCACTTCCCTGGCTGCAGCAGCTCCTGCTTGCAAATGAAGGGGTCAGGACTGAATGGGAGATCCTTACTGCTAGGAGCAGGTGCCCCCATGTCCAGCACATGAGAGGCTATTCCCTGCCACACCTGCCCGGACTGGGTGAGACTCACCACACTGTGTGCTGCTTCACTCTGCCAGGAAATTGTAGCTCTAACATTCTGCAAATTGAGGGGGGCCTGTAAACTATTTTCAGCATATGTCCATTCATTTTTTAAAGTATACTTTATTAAAATCTAACAAAAGAAAAATATGTGTTTAGAATTTTATCATGCAGATACTCTATAAAGCAATTAAAAGTTTAATTTATGAAGAGTATAACAATGTGGAAAAATGATTACAATAAAATACCATATAAAAAGAATAGGATATGTATATGGACAAGACTGGAATACATACATGAAACTAAAAAGAACTGTGCTAATCTAAAAGAAGCAGGGGTATGTATTCTTTTCTACTGTCTAAACTTTCTTGTTAGCCTTATGATGATGATGACAGTAACCATGACCACAATGATGATAATGGAAGACAAAAATAATTTATTTGTAGCAAGTGATGCTCCTTCCCTCTACTCTTGTCCAATTCCCATTCCCATCAGTTTTAAGGTTACCTACCTGATTTCTTCTCCCGAGTATCAGAGTAGAGGCCTTTAATATCTTGCCTGGGAACACCTAGCCTACTATGTACATCTGAAGAGGGCTCTCTCCGAACCACTGGGTTACTACTAAAAGCCTTTTCTGGAGAATATGGTCTTTTTCCTAACCGCTGTCGTATATCTGGAAAAAGAAAAAAGTACTACAGTGATCAAATGTGCGTATTTCATTACTTGTACTGTTAACCTAAAATTTCTTATAGACCTGGTACCAAATCTCCCTGAGTGAGGACATAGGACCAGACATAATCAACCTTCCAAAAGACTCTTTTCTTAATAATTAATCTATATTACTTTGCTAGGGAATTTCAGAGGCAGGTGCTATCACCGGGAAAAATCTCAATTCAGAAAAAAATTTCTGAAGCAGAAACACCTTTTTTTTTGGCAGGGGGGAACCAAGCAAGACTAAATAACTTATGAAAACTCCAAGTTCCCCAAGGGGAGAAGCCACACTCTTTGAACATATAAGTTGTTCTCGATAAACTTATTTCATTTAACCAGTAAACATAATAAGATTGGCAAAAGCAAAGGATCAAGGCCAGATGTCCCAAGCCGAATTTGTTTGTTTTTCCTCTTACCCCTCCTCACAAACCTATTTGAACTGGTTCCCCCTAACAGCAACAACACTAGTGACATTCATTAGCAAAAGCCTTGTGCTGGGGCTCTTGCCCATTTTACTTAAACTGCTCCCAGAGAGAGGCACCCATTTATCTCCCTGATCACTCAGGCTGAGCCCCCTCTATGTTTCTCTGCCTTTTCCCCCTTACTTCCCAGCACCAAGTCTTCCTTCCCAAGACTGAGAATAGGATGTTCTCACCGTTTCTGTCTCTGCTGTCCCTGACCTAGTTCAGGTTCTCATTATTTACTTAACTCTCTAACCCACCCTACTCCACCCTCAAGTTATCTTTCTAGAACACATAAACCATTTCCTCTAAGAAGTCTTCCACAATTCTCCCAGTAGATCTATGATGGTTTTGTAGTTTTCCAAAGATTTCTTACATGCCAGCTTCTAACCCAGGCCTGACAGCAAGCACAACTGCATACCTGCTATATGAATGCATGCATAAATGGTCTAGTTTAAACTCTTAACTATTTATAAAACTACCCAATTTAATTTCTACTATTCTTGCATACAATGTATACCAATGACATAAAGAGTAAAATAATTATTTTGGACAAAAATATTAAAAGCTAGTTTTGCCAAAGTCCAATTATTTTTCATGTCCTGAAATTCCAATATAAAACCAAAATTTTGACATGATGAACAGAAATTTAAATCAGTTCAAAACAGCAAAGTTTTATCGAAAAACCTATCCTTGCTCCAGTTTGCTCTCTAGAGCTCAGAATGAAGCCCAGGAACATAAATGAAGAAAGATACCTGATTTAGTACTGCTGACTGGTGGCCGTGGACGGGAGTGCTGGCGTTTTTCATCTAACAGGTGTCTGACATCTGCAAATTTCTCAGGTGGCAATTTGTTACCAATTCTGTTTTTTATATTGCTCGTGGATATACTATCTGCCCTCATGGAGTTCCTTTAAAAAAAAAAAGTAAAGTGCACAGTTAGTCAACTTCAACTATGAAATAAAGCCCAAGCAATAATCTCATACTCTAGAAAAAACAACTTAAGAGACGCAACCCAATATGGCCAACATTCACTTACAAATACCACATACGATTATAACTTACTAAGGAAAACCAAGATCATCTTGCTGTGAAGAGACTAGTAAGGGTGAGCAGAATGCTGTTTCCCATGGTGAGTTCCACTCATGATACCCATACACTATCACAGAGTACATAACTATAAGCACCCTTCTTCTGGGACAAACAAATGTTAAGCTGAGGCCTGCAAAGAACTTCTGCTCACCTAGAATGTGATCTGGCTGTAGTCAACACATATAGAGTCTATAATCCCCTTCTTTAAAGGGCAGACTTCTCTGTCAACAAGTTCTACTACCATGCTATGTACCAACATTATTCTGCCAGTAGCTCTATTAGGAAGTTCTATGAAAATTAAAAATAATGATGTGAATTCAAGAAGAACTCAAACTATCATTATTTGCTAACATGATTCTATACTTAAAGGATCCAAAAACTCCACCAGAAAACTTCTAGAATTAATGAATTCAGCAAAGTAACAGGATATAAAATTGATACCCATAAATCAAATGCATTGCTATACATCAGTGATGAAATCTTCTGAAAGAGAAATTAGGAAAACTACCCCATTCATAGCAGCCTCAAAAATATAAAATACTTGGGAATCAACTTAACAAAAGAGGTGAAAGACCTCTACGATGAAAACTACAGAAGACTAAAGAAAGAAATTGAAGAAGATCTTAGAAGATGGAAAAGATTTCCCATGCTCTTGGATAGGCAAAATTAATATTGTCAAAATGGCCATACTACCCAAAACGCTATACAGATTCAATGTGACTCCAATTAAAATCCCAATGTCATTCCTTATAGAAACAGAAAATCAGCATACTATAGTAACGCAGCCACACCAGGTTCATAGCAGCTCAATTCACAATAGCTAAACTGTGGAAGCAACCTAGATGCCCTTCAATAGATAAATGGATAAGGAAACTGTGGTAATCACACAAAATGGAATATTACTCAGCAATAAAAGAGAATAAAATTATGGTATTCACAGGTAAATGGGTGGAGTTGGAGAACATCATGCTAAGCAAAGTAAGCCAATCCCAAAAAACCAAAGGCTGAATGTTCTCTCTGGTAAGTGGATGCTGATTCATAATGGGGAGGGGGGATGCATGGGAAAAATGGAGGAACTTTGGACAAAGGGGAGGAGGGTAAGGAGGGTGCATGGGGGTAGGAAACATGGTGGAATGAGACGGACATCATTACCTAGGTACATGTATGACTGTATATATGGTGTGACACTACTCGTGTACAACCACAGAAATGTAAAATGAATCAAAATGCATTCTGCTGTCATATACACCTAATTAAATTAATTTAAAAAATACTAATGATGTGAACAAGGCCATACAAACAAATCAATCAGCTTTAAAGGTCTTTCTCCCTTCCGCCAAATGTATCACCAAGAACATCATAAACCATCCCTAGAATTTAACTCTTGGGAGTTTTAGATATACTATCTGCAGTCACTGAATATGCTCATCCCTAATAGTAAAAAAAGTACACATTAAAATAACTATATTTTTTGTTCATAAAAGATTAGGAAAAATGGAATACCTAAGGTTGGTGTAGATATGGGTAATAGGTGTAGTGTGGGTACAACCTGGAAGGAAATCTAGTATAGTAATTAGACTTTGAGGAATCTATCTAGTTAATAAAATAGTAAGAAAATAAACCTAAATGCCCATCAATAAGGAATTAAGTGAATCATGATACTTTCAAACAATAGACTACATGTGGTTGAAAAAAACAAGATGTCTATAATATATTAAATGGGGAAAAGCACCCTGCAAACAATATAAATACCATAGCATCATTTCTATACAAATATACCTATAGTTTCATTGTATATTATGTATATGCATAAAATAACTAGAAGGTTATTCACTTAACTGCTAACAATTGTTATCATGAGGGTCTAGGAATACAGGGAACTTTTACTGATAAAACACTTTTACCTAATATTTTTCAGTTGAGATTCTACTTCGTCGGCATACATAGTCATTTTCATGCTTTTCTTTGGTGAGGGAGTGGAAATCATTTTCAGTTCTAGATCATAGTCCATTTCATCTGAGTCTGAGCTGCTGGCACTGGACCGCCTAGACACACTCCGCTCCCGGGTCTGCTTAAGAGCTGGAAGCTCCTCATGGTACTCTACCACCACCCTGTCATCTGCATCCATGTCCTGGTCTTCCTCCTCCTCCTCTTCCTCCTCTTCCTCCTCCTCAATAGGTTCCTCAGGAACATTCACTAATGCTGAAGAAATTTAACCAAAAGACATTAGGAAAAGCTTAGCTAAAACTAGTAAATGTGATTTTCTATTCTACAAAGGAGAAAAATTCCCACCCCTGAGATTTATTGGAGCATTATCTATAACAGAGCCAAACCAGACACCATTCTGATGTCCAGAAGAGAATGGTTGGGTAAAGTATGATCTAGCAGCTTAATGGAATATTATATATAAAATTATTTAAATTACAGTCAATTCTCATTATTTACAAGTTCTGTATTTGCAAATCTGTCAAAATTACTTGTAACCCTAAGTCAATATTTGGGGTACTTTCAAGGTCATTTGCAGACACGTGCAGAGCAACCAAGAAATTTGAGTCACTGGATGAGTTTGTTTCCAGCAGAGGTCAAACAAAGCAACACTCTACTTTTTGTTTCATCTCTCATTCTGTAAGAAACATCCTTTTTATAGTCTACTGACTGTCTTATTTTTCTGCTTCTTATGCTTTTTGTTGGTGAAAATGAAACAGCACAGCATTTTTAGTGTTGTTGTTAAGTGCAAGAAGGCTGTGATATGACTTAAAGAGTAAATACATGTGTTAGATAAGCCTCATTTAGGCCTAAGTTAAAGTACTGTTGTTGGCTGTGAATTCACTGTTAATTAATCAACAATATATGTAAACTAATGTATCTTTAAACAGCTGATGAAAATAGCGTGACCTGAGGCTTCGTATTGTTAGTATTTACTATTTTAATGTTTGCAGTGACTTCATAGCACACAACCACACCAATTACTGAAAGTCAATTATTAATTTTAAAGTTTATGGAAAAATGCTTATAATAAGTGAATATAAAATATATATTTATAGAATTATAAATATTTATTATGAAAATAAACATGGGAAAAATATAAAATGAAATCAGTTGTTATATTAGGGACCAGAATTAGGGGCAATTTACTTTTTAATTTCTTTAGCATAAAGAGTGGATATCTTAACTGAAATTGGAAAAGTATAATAGAAAAACATACGCATTATTAATACTCAGATTTCAAACTCATTAAGTAAAAATATATAGACTTCACCTCTTCCTATCCCATTCCAGTGATATAAGTGTACGTGTTTTTCTGTTTGTATGATGACTTGACTAGTTCTATAAACATGTAGAAGATTCCACACATTAAGTTCAAATAAAAACAAATCTTCATAAAACATTAAGAAAATGATTAATTTACTAAATAAGCATGAAGAAAAAAGAAAGAGAAAGACCCAAGTCATGATATCCCATTTTCTGTGGTACTCATGGGTACAAATCAATAAGCATAAAGCACTCAACATAACAGCCTATTTACATTATCAGAAAAGGAACAATAAAATCTGCCCATTTGATCAGATAATTTAAAAAATTATTTTTCATGCAGTTGTTGATATTAATAGTAGAAAAATTAGGTTTCTAAGAAAAGTTTTATTTAGCTTTCCCTATGTTACATTTGGCCTTTTTTGTTAGAACAGTTTTATAAAATCATTTGACCTCTTTGCACGGGCAATTTAAAAATTAATTGTGACATGACTTACTTTCCTATATGTTGGCAGAGGGTGAGGGCAAGGAAGAGAGGATGATAAAGTGTGGAACCTTAAAAGACTGTATTAAGAATAAAAATATGATTTCGAGAGCCAAACATGTGTCTACCCAAGAGCTGAGCAGGCAACTACCGGAATGTCGGTGTTTATATGACGTCAAGCCAACATCATCCCCAATCAGGGCTCTCTTCTTGATCACATCCCGCTGAATGCGACGGGAATGATATCTTCGCTTCCTGGAACATTGCCAAAATAAGCACATAATCAGAAATCAAAAGGAAGGATTCTGAAATCTACTAATTCATTCCAACTACACAATGACACAATAGTAGGTACTGAAACAGATATTTTATTTATTTATTTTTTTATTTTTTAATATTTATTTATTTATTATTTTAGTTTTCGGTAGACAACATCTTTGTTTGTATGTGGTGCTGAGGATCGAACCCGGGCCACACGCATGCCAGGCAAGCGCGCTACCGCTTGAGCCATATCCCCAGCCCTGAAACAGATATTTTAAATGAAACAGCACAGCATTCTCGTATCATTCACCACAGTTAAGAAGCTTGAATTCTTTTTTCTCGTCTTCCTTTTTCAGTCCACAAAGGGTTTTTACATTTCACTACAGAATACCAACTGAACGATTAAGAAAAGCTTAATTACTATATAAACTACTATATTTTAAAGGTTTGGGACTCACCAAGAATTGCTAAGAATTCCTTTCATGCCTCCGTAATTTGGATTCCCATATTTCATGTAATACTGACTTCTTCTGGCTGCTCCAAGTTCCTTTTTGTCATCTAAAAATTAATTAAAACAGTTAGCTAGAAATTCCTGGTCATAAAGGCAACGTTGAATGGTTTTTAAAAGTACATGTTTTCCCGTAGCTTGGATCTGATCAGTGCAATCTCCCAAAAAAAAAAAAGGACAGAGCCCCTATAAACTATAAACATTTGCTCTCTGAGTGTTCACTAAGGCAATGCAAGTGTGGAGGAGGTGGAGTAAAATACACAGATGGCTGAGGTTAAGCTGCTGTTTAGGAGCTGACTAACTTGGCAGAAGAAATACTACAAAAAATAAACAAGATACAAGATACAAGGTTCTAAGAGGCATGAGAGGTTTCTTTTAGAAGAGATAACACTTTTGTAGTCCTTAGAGGGATGATACTCATTTCTGAATGACAAACACTTCAATAACACAGAACAAGGGTTAAAGAATAAAACAACATAATTTCACATATTTTTTTAATATTTATGTTTTAGTTATAGGCAGACACAATATCTTTAGATCTAACCCAGTGCCTCACTCATGCTAGGCAAGCGCTCTACCTCTGATCCACAACCCCAGCCCATAATTTCACATATTGAATAAATCTTTTTTTTTCTAGCTTATTTTTATTTTCCTCAAACTGACTTCAAGAAAACAAAATTAAGTACCAAACATTTCAAATATATTCAAAAAAACATTCAAATGAGTAAATGTGGAAAAGATCACATTTGTCACATTAAAATGCTAGTTAACAGGAAAGGAAGGTGGTTGGTCAAAGCAGTAATATAAAGGCCTTCAACAGCTGCTTGGGCACTCTGATTGCAAAGGACAAACAACACTGTAAATGTATCCAGTGCTACAGGAAAACGGGACATCATCTATCAGTATGTGTACTTCCCCCATATTATTCCCCAGAAGACCATGCGAACCAGCTCCCTGAAGAAATGGCTGATTTCAGTTCTGGGAAGGTGAAGTACAAATTAAGTCTTGAAAAATAAGATGTTTTGTTGTATTGCAAGTAAGCAAGTGCTCAAAGAACTGTGGGAATATCAAAATACAGCTTGAAGGAGCTTTAGTGGACCAAATCCAAGACAATTTGTGAAACAAAATGATGACAGCTATGGATTATGGCTTATTGAATAAAAATCCGAGTCTAAACTGATATGAGTAAATAAACAAATACATAAACAGGTAAAAAAGAAAATTCTTCCCTAGAGTAGACTGCCAACTAATAAAGAAATAACCATTAATGGATGCTAAAGCTACTGCATGTAAGTGCAATAAGCAACAAGCTATTCATATAATCTCAAAGTATCTCTCCACAACTGTTTTAATTACAAACAGAAAAATAGTTAACTTTACAGTTGGAAAAACAGGAAATCATTACCTTAACTAAGTAAATAATGTTAATATCTTTGAGAATGGGAAGAATAACTTTCATGTACCTCCTCCTATACAACCCACTAAAAATGACACATAATCACTTCTGTAGTATTCTTGCCTCAAAATGATATGAATTTAATTGGAAGAAAATATTAAACATATCCAAACTGGGGGACAGTCTATAAAATAATGAGCCTATATACTCTAAAAATTTCTCAGTCAAGGAAAACAAAGTGAAGGAGTAGTTCCAGATTAAGGGAGACTAAAAAGACAAATGACATACCTAAATACTCCATCTTGGAGTGGATCCTAGATCTGTGGGGTTAGGAAATCCATGAAGGACCTATTTTTGGAAGACCTGATGAAATCTAAACATGGACTATGGATTAGGTATTAAGTATGGTATTAAGTTAAATCTTCTGATTTTTGATAACTGTGCTTGTAGATTAAGACAATGTCCTTATTCTTCAGAAATACATATTGAAGTATTTAGAGGTAAAGAGATGTTAATGCCAACTTGCTTTCAAATGATTAAAAGAACATATATGTGTATATATAAATATGTACATATACATACATATTTTCTAATTCCCACCAAAAATCATTGTGCAAAAAGTCTTATTAGAGAAGAATCAGAGCTGAAAGGCATATTAGTGATGTCACCAGGATGTTATTGCTATAATAAGCTAACAGGATAATTTTTTAGAAGTTTTCATAGTTCAGATAACTGGCTGAAAAGCACACAGGGCAAACCACTTTAACAGAAAATAACTTACCGTGGCCAGAATTCACCAACATATACAAACAGTTGATTTTCACTTTGAAAGTCAGAAATTCCTTTCAGCTTACAAACCATTTTTCATAAACACAGAATACCACAGTGTACAGGGAACCTTGAAATGACTTGATCTAACTTCTTTTCAAAAGAGAGAGATGTCACTCAACAATAAATCATTTTTGATTGAAGGTAAAAATGCCAAAAAAATTTATTTTACCTTTTGTAGCAAATCTCATGAATAACCTATTTCCTTTAGCAAGTTTGTTAGCTGGACGAAGATCATTTCTTAACAGAGACTCTTCTTCTACCTGAGACAATGTGTCCAACTTAAGAAAAAAAAGACCATTTTCAATGTAAAAATAAATCTTTTTTATATTTATTCAGTTGACAATTAACCAGTAAAAAAAGCCTTCTACCTTTAATACCCGTCAACCTTGCAGCCTAGCTCCTCTGCAGAATTTTAAAGTCAGAGGTCGTCTCTGAACATTCTGTTTAAAACAATAGTCTCCAACACTCTCTATTCCTTTAATCATTATCTTTCTTCATAATACTTATTACCTTCATGTATGTGTATATCTGTATTGTCAATCTTCCCCACTAACATGTAAGTTCCAAGAGGGTAAGAACTTTGTTTTGTTTGATGATGTATCTCTATTACCAAGAATTTGGTACACGTAGACATTTAAAATTTAAATATTTATAATAAATACACTCATATTTCTAATAGTATAAAATCCATTAGGGAATATACCATTTCTTGCTTTTTCTTTTTTGTGGTGCTGGGGATGGAACTCACAGCTTCACACATACTAAGCAAGTACTCTACCATAGAGCTACAGCCCCAACCCTACTTTGCTTTTCCTTAATTTTATTTATTAAATAACACTTCAAAATATTTATCAGTAAAACCATATTTTTTCCAGTATGGGGAATTGAACTTAGGGACACTCTACCAGCTATATCCCCAGCTCTTTCTAAATTTTACTTTGAGACCGTGTCTTGCCAAGTTGACCAGGCTGACCTCAAACTTGGGATCTTCCTACCCCGACCTTCCAAGTAGCTAGGATTACAGGTGTGCACCACCATGCCCGCTAAAACCATTTTCTTTCAGGCAGAAATATGAACACTATTCTAAGATCTCAAGATAAACTGTTACAACCACATAAGTTAAAGGCCAAGAGTCTGGTGCACCCTCAGAAGGTTTCATGGTAAAAGCTAGATGAAAAACACAACAAAGTCTTTAAGAATTAAATTTAAAACAACAATAAGTAATTTTTTTTTTAATTTTTTCAATTGTGAATAGATCTTTATTTTATTTATTTATTTATATATGGTGGTGAGAATTGAACCCAGTGCCTCACACATGCCAGGCAAGTGCACTACCGCTGAGCCCCAGCCCCAGCCACCAATAAGTAATTTTTTTACAATAAAATCTTACAGGTATCTTTGCCCTATTACTAACCTCTACATCACTTGAGTTCTCATCTTCAACTTCTCCTTCTTCAGCCTCATCATCATCTGAACTGTCTTCATGCTTGTCTAAAATGGAATGTAAAGGACAAGATGAACCTTAACATAACGCCATCTCATAGAACTTTTAAAGTCTAGTATTTTCTACTCATGTTTACTGCTGATTCCAAACAACATAGTTTATCTGAAAAACATGGGTTGATGATATACCATATGATATTTCACTTCCCAAGGACTGGACTATGTAAAGAACAGGACTTTCATGCCAAAGTTCCCTCCTTTGTGTTGTTACCTTTTTTACTTTTCTCAGATGACTTGTCTTCACTGGCATCCCTGCTTCTGATCTTATCCTGGGCTGGCAGAGAGCTCATATTGATAAGGGCTCGTGTAGCTGTCATTTCATCCAGCCAAACCACATTACCTAAAATGTTACAATGCATCCAAATGATTAAGTTACTTGAGATCAGATTCTGCATCATATTCATTGTTACAGCTTAATCTAGTTATAGACAGTCATCAGTAAATAAATATACATATCAGCTAATGAAAAGAAGTATAAAAGTAGTGAAAAAATCTCTTTGATGGATTTAGCCTAAAGCTATATTCCCAAACTGGGTTCCACAAAATAATTATTAAATATTCCATGAAGAAGAATTCTGTATTTTAAAAATAGAATATTCCAAGTGTTAGTCAGTTTCTTTTTTTGAGATGAAATCTCACTGTTGCCCAGCCTACCCTCAAACTCCTGGGCTCAAGCAATCCTTCTCTATCAGTTCATGGTAGAGACTATAGGCACTGATCCAGCTAAATGTTAGCAATTTTTTTTTTCTTTTTTTGGTGGTTCCAGGGATCGACCAGAGGGCCTTGTGCATATAAGGCAAGCACTCTACCAACTGAGCTATATCCCCAGTCCTGTTAGCAGTTCTTGATGATGATGATGATAATTGTCAAATAAATTTGGATTATCCATTATACTATTGCCCCCTGCTATTCTTTATTATCTAGACATGCTAAATGATGTTCCCCCATAATAAAGTGTGGGTAAGTAAGGTATCCATGGGATGTGTACAATGGAGATATGACAGCCACTTGGCTTTGCAGCAACTAACTTAATTTACCCCTTTAAGAAAGAAAATTAACCAAGAAAAAGGGTTTGAAAAGTCTTGTAGAATAAAGACCTCTTTAACTGTTTCAAATAGCACTTCTCAAAATTATGTTATCCCTGTATCTTGGTTTGGGAAATTAAGGCTTAAAGACTTTCACTTATGTCAGGCTACAAAGCCTTGAGCAAACAATTTCCTTTATCTATTTTTCGGTTTCTGATGCACAATATGAGGTAGCTGAACTGAATAATTCCAAGGATCCCTTTAATTCTAATATCCTTAGCTACAGATTTAATGACTTAAATCAGAGTTTAGCAAACAATAACCCATGGGCTAAACCCAGCTCATCATCTGTCACCTTTTTTTTATTGTTGTAGATGGACACAATACCTTTTTTAAAATTTATTATTATGTGGTGCTGAGGATTGAACCCAGTGCCTCACACATGCTAGGCAAGTGCTATATCACTGAGCTACAACCCCAGCCCCATCATATGTACTTTTTATATTTGAACCATCTTTATTAAAGAATAATTAATGTACAATAAATACACACCCACTGCCCATTTTTGTAAAAAAAGTTCTATTAAAAAACAGCCAGGCTATGAGTTTTTATACTGTTTACAACTGCTTTCATGCTACCACAGCCGTTGAACATATGTTACAGGGACTATATGGATATAAAACCTAAACTATAATCTGGTCCTTTCTAGAAAAAGGTTTACTGACCTTGAATTTGGATACTGTAAGTTAAGTAAAAAGAGAAAAGGAGGAAACCCTTGACTCAGTCATGTTTCTTTCAATGAAAACACTGAATCAACACCTTTAGCTGAGAAACTAGATGCCATCTAGGGCACTGCCTAGTAGGTCAGCCAGCTGGCAGCAAGTAAAGCCAGACTAGAAGTAAGTCAAGACAAGAAGCCAGTAGTTACCAGAGGTCAAGTCAGACTTGGCATGGAAGGCAAGTTAAAAATTACATTTGGCTCCCAAGCCAACTCACAGGTTAGGGCAGGTGATATTCCAGAAAACACAGTACAAGGCAAGTAGAGGTGAGACATCTGTCAGAACATTCTCGTCTAGTTCTAGATCAGAACTGGAGCAGATTCAACCCTTTGAATAACTATGGCAAGTAGCAATGCCAAAGTTTAAAGCCTTAAAAACATAGCCCTGAAACTATGCAGCTGGATCCACCCCTTTGTTGGGAGACCATGGGAGAAAAAGAGGCCTTAATCAAGTATACAAGACTCAGATGCCAGTAATCAATTTGCTACAGCCTGGATCTCTATGAGTTGACTTGGAATACCCATGAAGTATGAGTTAACAGACTGGTTAAGGCATGCCGATTCTCATCGATGGGCAATATTTTTTCTTCTAGGCTAAGGACAGAGGTTAGGCATAAACAAGGAGTTTGGGCCATAATCATTTACCATTTTAGACAGCAAGAATTCTTAATAATTCATTTTTGAAAGCATATTCAACAGAAAACTTGGGTGTACTTACAGGAGGTATCATCCAACCATTCAATGTGTGCTGGAGGATATTCTTTAAAATAGGAAAAGATATCCTGGGTACTCATCTCATCTACTCCACAAATGTAGATTGTCTCTAGTCTCACTTTGGGAATTGCTATAAAAATAAGACACAGAAAAGATGACAGAATTTTCCCACCTGCAATCACACATTCCACTAGTACTATTTATAAAATTTTAGAAAAGAAATATGCTGAAAGAAAGATGTTCAAAAGAACACAAGATGGTAAACTAAAATGTTTTAATTTTTATCAATGAACACCAGCATTAAACAAATGATTTAATTCAGAAAAGGGATATTAGGCTCAGAATATGATGTTAGTAAAGCACATGATACCTATCCCCACATTAACCTGCAGGAAAGCAATACTAAATTCAAAAGGATTATTCTATACTTGACAATCTGATTCTAAAAGTTTTAAGTACATGTCAAAGAGAGATGTACAATAGTGGAGATAATCGTGAAGGATAAGAAATTGCTGCTGAATATATAAAAGCACAAAACTAAAATAATTATAGAGCGAAATCAGGTGCAGTGGCGCATGCCTGTAACAAGTGACTAGGGAGGCTGAGGCAGGAGGATTGCAAGTTCAAAGTCAGCCTCAGTAACTTAGCGAGGCCCTAAGCAACTCTGCAAGACCCTGTCTCAAAATAAAACATAAAAAGGCTGGAGACATGGCTCAGTGGCAAAGAGCTCCTTCGGTTAAATCCCCAATAACAAAAAAAAAAAAAAAAAAAAAGAAAGAAAGAAAAGAAAAAAAAAATTTTATGGCATGAAACTAGAAAAAAGAAATCCTCAAGTCATTAAGAAAATGACACTCCAAAATAAAAATGGGCAAAGGACATAAACAGGCAATTTATACAAAAGAAACTACAAAAGGCCAATAAACATGTGAAGAAATGGGCTAACCTTTCTGTTAACCAGGAAAGTTCACATTAAAAAGAAGATACCAATTTTCACTGAACAGATTTTATGCATTTTGGTATGAAGTGTTGGCAGTGGGTGAGGAGTTACTCCCCTTGCCAGTGGGAGTGTGGAACTGGCACAGCCACTCTGAAGGACAAACAAGGATGTAATTTAGCACACACCCCTAGAAATTCTAGTCCTATCTACCTTAACACACAGACTCACAAAATAGCTCACACAAAGATGTTTAGGGCAGCACTATTTCTAACAATTAAGTAGCTGCAAGAGTAACAAATTGTGGTTTATCTATATTAAATAAAGCACAGTTTATCCATATTATAGAATATAATACAGTAAAAAAACAATGAGAGCTGGGTATGGTGGTAGACACCTGTAATCTCAGCTACTTGGGAGGTTGGGGCAGGATGATTATGAGTTTAAAGAGAGACTGGGCAACTCAAATTGTCTCAAATGAGGGGAAAAAAAAAAAAGCTGGGAATATAGCTCAGTAGTAGAGCACTTGCCTACTTGTTTAGCTTGCATAAGGCCCTAGGTTCAATCTCCAGCAAAGAAAAAAGAAAAAAAAAAAAAAGTTGTAGAAAATTAAACAACCATCCACTCTCGAGATAAATATATTTGTATACACAAATACCTAGAATAAAGCCTGGTATGAGTCTCACTATACTGATAATAGTTGATACCTCTGAGGAGGGAGAAAGATTCATAGCTGTGGGGTCAAAAAGGAAAGTTAGCCTCATCAGAATTCTGTTATGTATACACAAAATACTTCTAAGAACATTATATCATTTAATCTATTTAATTTCAAAATATATATAAACATATCATAAAAATTTAAATACCTATATGTCTACTTCATAATTTTAAGATTAATTTCTTAAAAGATCAGACAAGTAAAACATTTCGTGTAAAATGGGGGCCCCTGTAATCGTTCCACATCCCTCTCTCCCTTCCTCCACTGCACATATTAATGGTTGCTATGTGATGTTTAAAAAAAATTATATATATTTACATTTAAATCAGGTTCAACATATCTCTCCTCAAATAAGTATGATTTCTTTACGGTGAAAACATTCAAAAATCTTTTCTTATAGATTTTTGAAAGATACAGTACATAACTGTTATATATATTCACTCTAGGGCTGAGGATGTAGCCCACTGAAGATAGAGCACATTCCTAGCATATAAGAGGCCCTGGGTTCAATCACCAGCACCACAAACAGACACATAAAGTCATAGCTTCTTACTCCTAACTGTAACTTAGTCTCCTCTGACCAGACTTTTCCCATCCCTCGCTATCCCTTACTCTCTTCCCAGTCTCTGATAACTGTGAGTTCAACTTTTTCAGAGTCTCTGAGTTAAGATAATGCTGTCCTTGTCTTTCTGTGCCAGGCTTAACATAATGATCCATACATGTTGTCACAAATGATAGGATTTCATTCTTTTTTTTTTTTAATGTTTATTTTTCAGTTTTCGGCGGACACAACATCTTTGTTTGTATGTGGTGCTGAGGATCGAACCCGGGCCGCACGCATGCCAGGCGAGCGCGCTACCGCTTGAGCCACATCCCCAGCCCTCATTCTTTTTTTAATAGCTGAATAATATTTCAGTTTAGGGACTGGGGTGTCGTAGCCAGTGGCATAGCACTTGCCTAGCATGTGGGAGGTACTAGGTTGGATACTTAGAAACACATCAAAATAAACAAATAAAATAAAGGTATTCTGTTCATCTACAACTACAAAAAAAAAAAAAAAATTCCAGTGTATATATGTACCACACTTTCTTTATCGATTCATCAGATGAAGGACACTTAGTTTGATTCCATATCTTGGCAACTACACATAGTACTGCAAAAAACATGGGAGTGCAGATGTCTCTTTGACATACCAACTTCATTTCCTTTGACTGTATATATATATATACATACACACACACACACACACACAGTAGTGAGACTGCTGGATCATATGGTAATTCTATTTTTAATTTTTTGAGGAACCTTTGGTTGTTTTCCATAATGGCTGTATTAGGGCTTGGTTTATAACTCACGGATAGAATACTTACCTATCATGTGTGAGGCCCGAGTTCAATCCCCAGCACCATAGGGGGAGTGGGGATGACTCTAACATAATGGCTGAACTAATTCACATTTCCACCAACACTATGCAGAGGTTCCTTCTTCTCCACATTCTCATCAGCACTTGTTATCAACTCAAAATAGATTGAAGATTTAAAATGAAAGACATGGGGCTGGGGATGTGGCTCAAGCGGTAGTGCACTCGCCTGGCATGCGTACAGCCCGGGTTCGATCCCCAGCACCACATACCAACAAAGATGTTGTGTCCGTCGAGAACTAAAAAATAAATATTAAAAAAAATTCTCTCTCTCTCTCTCCCTCTCTATCTCTCTCTCTTAAAAAATTATTAAAAAAAATAAAAAATAAAATGAAAGACATGAAACTACTAAAAGAAAACACAGGGAAGCACTTCAGGATGCTAGAACAGGGTAAAGATTTTCTGGACAAGACTCCCAAAACAGGGGATATAAAAGCTAAAATATATAAATGGGATTACATCAAACTAAAAAACTTCTGCACAGCAAAGGAAACAATCTGCAGAGTAAAGAGACAATCTACAGAATGGGAAAAAATATTGGCAAACTATATAACTGACAAAAGGTTGTTATCCAGAATACACAAGGAGGGCCAGGCGAGGTACAATGGTGCACACCTGTAATCCCAGCAGCTTGGGGGGCTGAGGCGGGAGGATTGAGAGTTCAAAGCCAGCCTCAGCAAAAAGTGAGGTGCTAAGCAACTCAGTGAGACCCTGTCTCTAAATAAAATACAAAATAGGGCTGGGGATGTGGCTCAGTGATCAAGTGCCCCTGAGTTCAATCCCTGGTACCCCCCCACGCCCAACAAAAAAAAAAAGAGAGAAAAACAGAATATAAAAGGAACTACAAAAACTCAATGGCAAAAAAAAAAAAAAAAAAAATTACAAAGTGCACAACAGATCTAAATAGACATTTTTCAAAAGACATACAAATGGCCAACACGTATGAAAAAAATGTTCAAAATCACTAATTATCAGAAAAATGCAAATCAAAACCACAATGGGGTTGTGGCTCAGAGGTAGAGCGCTCGCCTACCATGCATGAGGCACTGGGTTCGATCCTCAGCACCACATAAAAAATAAAATAAAGATATTGTGTCCACCTCTAACTAAAAAATAAATATTAAAAAAAAAAACACAATGAGATATCACCTCACTCTATAAGAATGGCTATTACAGGGCTAGGGATATGGCTCAAGCGGTAGTGCGCTCGCCTGGCATATGCGGGGTGCTGAGTTCGATCCTCAAAACCACATAAAAATAAAATAAAGATGTTGTGTTCACCGAAAACTAAAAAATAAATATTTAAAAAAGAATGGCTCTTACAGAAGGAAAAAAAAAAAAAAAGAAAAAAAATGGGATGGCTATTACCAAATACTTTTTATATGCAATATATTTCTTTTACTTAAAGTTAAAATACTTATGAATACTTATAAATACAAAAAAATTAATGTTTGTTTTGTCATTTTATTCTGAAGAATAAGAAATGTGTTTAGCCAGGCATGGTGGTGCACACCTGTAATCTCATCAGCTCGGGAGGCTGAAGCAGGAGGATCACAGGTTTGAAGCCAGGTTCAGCAAACTAGTGAGGCTCTAAGTAATCTAGTGTGACTCTGTCTCAAAATAAAAAATAAAAAGAGCTGGGGAATGTGGCTCAGTGGTTAAGCATCCTTGGGTTCAATCCCTGGTACTAAATGAAAGAGGGAGAAATACAGGTTTAATGAGTACCCATGTAGGTATGACTAAATCAGGTGAGGGGTTTTTGGATTTTTTTTTTTTTTTTTTTTTTTTTGGTACTGAGGATTGAGCCCAGGGCCCAGGCCTTTTTATTTTTTATTTTATTTTGAGATGGTCTTGCTGAGGTGCTGAGGTTGGCCTCAAACTCACAATTCTCTTGTTTTCGGCCTCCTAAATTGCTGGGATTACTGGTGTGCAACACCATGCCCAGCTCAAGAGAGTACTTTCTTGACAGTCCGGATACATGAAGACATAGACGCCCTAAAGATTTATGAACTCCAGCATGTCCTCATTGGAGTCCAGCAGTGCAAGAATGAATAGAAG